CTGACATACTCTCTTTGCAGGCCAGGACCAGTAAAAACTGGCAAGTCACAGCCAGCTTCCATGTCCAGCAAACATTGGCTTTTCTGGATCTCTCCGGCGTCTGTTTGAAAGTATCGATCCACATGCAAACACACACATGTTAGGGCCTGAAGAAGGGCAGCCACCATTCCATCCACCTGCATCCAACGTGTTACCAAGGCAGTCAATGTATATTGGGTATCAGGAAGATGCGCATGAGAAGCAGGAAAAGAAATTGTGATGGGCAGCCATGTGTCACCATGATCATGTGCATGAGTCACACCACTTTCTTCCAGGCGGCGCTCCCAAGTCATGTTGACTGCAGGGGCTTGCAGCCATGTGAGTGCTGCAGCCGTGAATTCAGAGGAGTCCTGCTGACTTTCGCTCTGCAAGCCTCTGAATGAACCCCAGTTTTGCAAGATACGATCGAACCATGCCAGGTCCTTAAGTGCAACCAGTTGAAGGTTGTGACAAGGCAAGAATTGAATCATCTCTGCAAAACCCTCCCCTAAGGCCGAAAAATCACACTGCATCGTCATGAAACTCCAGAGAAGGCAGAAGATGGTGCTGTTAGCAAAGCACCAATTCAAGTCATTTCTCAGGCATAAGTGGCTCAGGACATGCATCAGAATCGAAAGAGGCGGCATCATCAAGCTGCCTGATTCTGGTTCTTCTGCTTGAGCTTCCCTTTCCCTTTGCCCTTCGGGGGTCTGTGTCCCAGGGATTGTTGGATGGCATTGGCTAGGCCGCTTTGGAGCTGGGTGTGCGGTTTGAGCATCGTTCCAATCAGCGTCCATACGCTGCTGCGGCACAGTGTCTCCATCAATTCCCATTCCCGGTCTGCACGGGGGTTCAGTTGGAGGCGCCATGGACTGACCGTGGTGTTCGCACTGCTCTGAAGGGACTGGAAGCACACTACCAGATCCGGGCTGCGAAATACTTCCACCGGTTCCTGGCAAAACTGCAACATCTGTGTCATGCTGATGGGCTTCTTGCTGCTCTTCACCAAGCTCTGGGCTGTGTGATCCCAGTCCAGGTACGCCCAATTGCCCTTCTCGTCGATCAGATTGGTCTGAATTGACACCTGGAAGAGCTGATCCTCGGGTTTGGTCTCCGACAGCTTGGTCACTCTGGTCAGCAGGTCTGTGAAGAGGCTCTGGGTCAGATGCTGGCGCAGGGTGGTCAGAGGGAGCTGGTTGGTCTTGCGCTGCTCCTGCCATTTCTGTGTGGACGTCAGGATGTTCGACAAGCCGCCTTTTGGATCTTTGTTGAAAAAAAGCACGAAGCTGTCCGTGCGGCGGCACATGTT